AGAACAAGAGAGGAGAGGGTTACCATTTCAATCGAAGGAGGGAGAGATGGGCTGGAATATAGTGCGTCAAACTCAATCAACATCGATCATTGAAATTGGTCAATCTGCGACGGTGAAAAACGACGAAACCCCTTTTGTCTAATAATAAATGAGGCACGATTTCCCAATCTAAGATGACTTTTATCTACTTGTACCTTTCAAAGTGCCCGATGAATCTCGATCGGTCGTGACAGTCTCCCAGTCTCATGATAATTACCAAAGCTACATTTGATTCAGGATGTGCTTTCCAAACTCCTAGTGAATTTGCAATATCCCATGGGCCAAGTGAAGCTCTCTTGGACTTTGTCTCAACGGCTGTTGCATTCTCTCAAAATCTTAGAGTTTGGGCTTTGTTGCTTAATGAGATGGGCTTCTTAGTTTGATCATGGGCTTTCTAGTCCACTGGCAGAGAGGCACTCCAACAGCCCATAATAAAACCTCGTACGAATTTGTTTGGGCCATAAGCAGCTCTACTTGCTTGTGTGACGTTAGAGATGCAAGAACTGGAGCTGCAAAGTGATGTGAGAAATTGTAAGTTGTCATTCGAGAATTGAATAACAATCTACCACATGTGGTTAAAGAGTGGGCAATCTGTCAATGAAAAGTGGTTTTGTTCAATGGTCTATGGATAGTAAGTTTAAATGATAAAAGTCGAACCCAAAATCTTGATTAGTAATTAAATGTTTGATTTAGGTGTGACAGATCTTGTATTCGAATAGCTGTTCACTGCTTTATAGATGAAGTCTTACTTATGCAGATAGATGGATAGTTTTCACAAGTATTGGTGTGGATTAGTTGAGTCAAAGGTTCGGATATCCCATATTGTTAAAAACAAATGACATAAGTGACCCTAAATCATCAATAGCGAAGACATAATTCGAGGTAGAATTGAGATATTTTACCTTAACAGGTATTGCGCTTACCACCACCCTTATTCAAGTCCAGTGGCTGGTCACTTGGGTCCGGACGTTGGCGCTTCCAATAATTTCCTCATGGAAGTAGGTTTGGGTGCTCGGATGGTCAATGACATAATGGGGATTGAAGTGAATTTTGAAAGATAACTTTAAAAATAATTTAAAGTGAAAAATGTAGTTTTCGAAATTATTTTCTCACGATGCTAAAAATTTATTCAAAGAAAGATTCACACGATCCAAATAGGGGTGTGCAAAAAGAACTGCCAAGACCAGGACCACATTGGTCAGTTCTAGGCAATTCCCATAATGGAATAGGTGATTTTCGGTCTAGTTCCTGATTCCATGGGTGCAATTGTTCACCTGAATTATCCGGATCGGACCGATATATATATTTTTAATTTCTTACAAATTTGTTAAAACTAAGTCCTAATCCCTTCACATTGTTCACAACACAGAGTCATAAATAGACGTATTAAGGTGAAATAGAGGTACTTGTCCTCGGTGGAGAGACTCTCTTGCTCGACTGTCGCTCGCAGCTTGCCTCCTTCTTATTTGACTGTCGCCTCCCTCTCGCGATCTCACTCTTGCTCAACTTCCGTGGTCTCGCTCTCTCGATCGACTCTTGCCTCCCTCTTTTGCTCTATTTTTGGCCGATTGTCATCGCAATCGCATCTCATCGAGATAAATATTCAGTTTTCTTTTTCGCTGTTCTTTTGTACACCATGTTGCGTCTAGATCTCATCTTTGAATCATACTAAGCGTGTTCATTAAAATGCCTGTATGAACTACGTGTACAAATCTGAGAAGTATTCTTACGCTATTATCATGTGATGTGATGTGTCCTACTCTGTTTGTTTTGCGGCGAATTTACAGTTTGGCCGCTCTTTGCTGCTGCTATCTATAGTGTCTATGTTCGAGATCGTTTTGCAAGTTTCGGTCATTTCGCCTTTAAAATGTTGTTTCAGCCTTTGACACTCACGTGTTATGTTCAATTCAACGGTTAAAATGTTAGTTAAAATGATGTTTTGGCCTACGAGATTGTTAAGATGTTGTTTTACCGGTTCCACCGGTCCGCTCGGGAATCGGACCGGACCCGAGAACCGGGTCCGAAAATCGGTTCGACCAGAGAGACGGCCAACAAAGTTCGCAGTCCGCGCTATAAGAGCTCTGAAGCAGAGACCAAAACCAGTTTTTGGGGATATAGAGAGAGAGAGAGTGGGAGAGAAGGTGATGGCGATGGAGGCGCTGAACATGAAGGTGCTCACCTTATCGTCGCGGCCCCTGAAGCACCTCCTCCGCTTCGCCGCTTCCCCTCGCCCCACCCGCCCCAACCTCTTCTTCGTCCGCTCCTCCTCCTCTTCCTCCTCTGCTTCGCCCCCCTCTTCCGCCGCCGCCGCCGCCGCCGCCCCCTCCGGCCGCGGCCGCCGGTCGCCGTCCTCGTCCTCTTCCACCTCCGACAGAGAAGCCGTTCGCGCGATTCGCTTGAAAAAGGTCGATCCTTTTTTTTTTTGTGTGTCCGGCTCGTCGGCTTGGTGGTCTTGCGTTCGAATTGAGCTTGAGATCAATTTTGGAAGGAGATTTGTCAGTTCATATTGTGGCAGGGGATGAAGGAGCGTATCTAGGATTTTGTTGAGAGTTAGATCTGGTTTCAATTGCCAAATTTTTATTTGTTTAGGGTTTGATTATTTTGACTTCTCGTAGCATTCTCTTCCTGGGAATGCCATCGGAAATTGTCATGAATTGCAGGGCAAAAATGTGAAGAGCTCAACGTCTTAAATTCTGCTTTCTGTTACCAGTTTGATTTGGAATGCAGCAAACAAAAAGTTGGAATCTTTCAGTGCCTTGAGTCGTTCATCCTTTTTCGACGATCTTTAAGTACTTGTAGACCCAAAGAAATAATCTAAAGCTGGGGCAACTTTCATATTCAGTACATTGATGGTGTGTCGGTTCTATAGGTGGAGGAATTGAGGGAGAAAGGTCTCGAGCCCTATGCCTATAAGTGGGATAGGACTCATTCAGCTAATCAGCTGCAAGACATATATAAGCATTTAGCTAATGGCGAAGAGTTGGACGGGGAGAAGGATCAAGTGTCCATAGCTGGGAGAATCACCGCTCGCCGAGCATTTGGGAAGCTTGCCTTTTTGACCCTCCGAGACGATTCTGGAACAATTCAGGTTCGCTCTTGTTCTGACTCGACGTTGTCTACTATTTCCTTAGCTACCCGCGCATCGAGTTTGATTCTGGGGCAGGTATAATCCGGTACCTGACCCGCCCAAATCCTAATGGGACATAAACGAGATTCGAGTTTCGGGTAGTGGGACGGGTCAAGGGTCAACTGTCAGAAATCCTATAGGGTTTGGAACGTATATGGGATTTTATAGTCGGGAAACCAGATATTTGAAACCGATATGTTTTAATTACTAAAATGGCCTTATTCCTTTATAGTCTTTAGGTTATTTGGCAAATGTACATCATTGTTCTAATCCTACTGGAGTTTGGGACGTTTTTGAGATTTACTAAATGCTTAAGGTTACTTATATAATTTTGTAAACCCCTAAAGAAATTAATTATGATATAACATTTTCAGTAACAAACACCATTACATGCCTAATTTCTCATTATAGGATTGTTGCATTTTAGATTTTTGTGATTATGGGTCTTGAAGTTTTTCAATCTTATATATGTTTTTCTATACTGTAGTTTTTCTAACTGGACAATGCATAAGTTTTAGGTTAAATATTGCGTTTGCAAATTTGACATGGTTTGTTATGTTTTTAGTGTGGGATATATGTCACCAGAATAGTAACATCGCTGGTTGCGGGTATTTGGTGGGAGTCTGACAACTTTAATGAGGCGGGTTTGGGATCTTATATCCAAAATCATAACAGTGATTGGGAAATGACGAAAAGTTTGTGGGACGGATTTGAGTTGAGAAATGCTTAGCCGCTCATTCCAGAGGCTCTTGAACATCCTCATTAAGAACTTTTATACTTTGTTTGTGTTGAAGTATTATCCCTCCGGCTTGCACGTGAGTAGGGGTGTTGAAGTATTAGCCCACATCGATTGACAACGGGTCCTAAATCCTCTTTATATTCATGTGGTCTCCATCCACCTAATAGGTGCTGTTAGGTGGATGGGGACCACATGAATATAAAGAGCATTTAGGACCTGTTATCAATCGATGTGGGATAATACTTGCTATTAGGTGGATGGAGACCACATGAATATAAAGAGCATTTAGGACCCGTTATCAATCGATGTGGGATATGAATATAAAGAGCATTTAGGACCCGTTATCAATCGATGTGGGATAATACTTGCTATTAGGTGGATGGAGACCACATGAATATAAAGAGCATTTAGGACCCGTTGTTAATCGATGTGGGATAATATTTCAACACCCCCACTCACGTGCAAGCCGGATTACGAGCAACACGTGAAATTTTGACATCGCACATTCACATGGAATTTTTACCACGCACGTTCACGAAGGGGATAGTATTGGCTCTGATACCATGTTAGAAAGTCCAACCCAAATCAAGAACCTGTTTGTTTGTTAAGAGGCTGAAAATACGAGTCGCCATATAAGCTACCTATATAATATCAAAACGTGCAAAGCAAAGGATAAACTTCTGAGAAGTTCATTACTCCATTGGACCACCAGTTGTAGCTGCTTCTGAGAGTTTTTCTTCCGTAGGAGGAGCAGTTGCTGCCGTTGCTTTCGGGGCATTCGTAATCATTTTATAGAATTCAACAGCTCTGTCGAAGGTTGCCACCATCTCCGAGGCTTTTTTTTACAAATGGACTTTTCTCAGCTACAGACATCGAGTTCCATTTATCCTCTTCAGCTTTTTCGACGACAGATTCGCATTCCTTGCTTCTCTTGAAATCACACATAAAAATGGCAAAAGCCGGGGGAGGAGGACGCTCTAGCACCGCAGGAGCAGAGCTGCTGGTGCCTCCTTTCCTCTTCTTCGAGATATCCTTCCGTGGGTCAAGCACCTCTGGGCGACTGTTGTTCTCCGCCAACGGGAGCGCTCTGCCGGCTCCCCGCCTGCTCGCAAACCCTAGAAATCCTCTCGTCTCCGATTCTCCCACCCTCTCTCTTCTTCCCCCTTTCTCTCCAAGGCGCACATCCTCGACGCGGATTCTGACTACATGGCCAGCAAGACCTCCTCGTCGGCGAGGGGAGCCGATGGAGCGCTCCCGTTGGCGGAGAACAACAGTCGCCCAGAGGTGCTTGACCCACGGAAGGATATCTCGAAGAAGAGAAAAGGAGGCACCAGCAGCTCTGCTCCTGCGGTGCTAGAGCGTCCTCCTCCCCCGGCTTTTGCCATTTTTATGTGTGATTTCAAGAGGAGCAAGGAATGCGAATCTGTCGTCGAAAAAGCTGCAGAGGATAAATGGAACTCGATGTCTGCAGCTGAGAAAAGTCCATTTGTAAAAAAAGCCTCGGATATGGTGGCAGCCTTCGACAGAGTTGTGGAATTCTATAAAATGATTACGAATGCCCCGAAAGCAACGGCAGCAGCTGCTCCTCCTACGGAAGAAAAACTCTCAGAAGCAGCTACAACTGGTGGTCCAATGGAGTAATGAACTTCTCAGAAGTTTATCCTTTGCTTTGCACGTTTTGATATTATATAGGTAGCTTATATGGCGACTCGTATTTTCAGCCTCTTAACAAAAAAAATAGGTTCTTGATTTGGGTTGAACTTTCTAACATGGTATCAGAGCCAATACTATCCCTTTCGTGAACGTGCGTGGTAAAAATTCCATGTGAATGTGCGATGTCAAAATTTCATGTGTTGCTCGTAATCCGGCTTGCACGTGAGTGGGGGTGTTGAAGTATTATCCCACATCGATTGACAACGGGTCCTAAATGCTCTTTATATTCATGTGGTCTCCATTCACCTAATAGCTTAAGCTTTTAGGTTGGACTTTCTAATAGTTTGATTTGATCGTGCTAAATCCTCTGTACGTAGTTATACTTTACTTTTACCTAGAAAATCAAACCATTTGAAGTGTCAGAAGATGCATGATGCAATCATTGTTTTCATTTGTTTTTGATTTGTTGCTCTGAACTTTTTACGTACAATAGATGCACTTGCTTCCATCTGCTGACTGGACAATAATTGGAAGTTTCGAGGTGCTCTGAAATTCATGTCGCACTTATTTAGGATGAAATACACTGCTTCGTAGTTAAGATCACCCTTTACTGATTTAACATTCCTTTGTGCTATATTTCTTTTCTTCTTTTGTTTTTCTACCGAAACTTATAAGATCAGTCTTCTTTACTTTGCACGGTTTACAATTACTCGTCTCATACTTAGATGACCCTAAACTTTGTTGGACTATGCTGGTTAGTATTTGTATCACCTTCTATAGTAGAAATGAAAGGCAGCTACTTTTACTACCATGGCTATACTTGTTCAATATAGTGGCTAGATAACTGATTGAAAGTACCAACCATTTGTTTTAGCTTTACTGCGAGAAGGTGAGGCTGTTAGACGATCAGTTTGAGCAATTGAAGACCCTTGTAGATATTGGTGACATAGTGGGTGCAAATGGAACTATAAAACGGACAGAGAAAGGTATATAATGATTCCTCTTCTTTACATTTAGTTGATATACATAAGCCATAGTAGATCAACATAAGCTGGATTTCCCTTTTTTTTTTGTGGGTTAGGTAAATCTGTGGTTCTAATCCTTCTCTGATGTCTTGTAATGAGGTCTGGCTATTGAATTCGCTTATTCATGATTTATACTTCAGGGGAGCTTTCCGTGTGTGTCAACTCTTTCGCAATTCTTACCAAATCCTTACTCCCGCTTCCTGATAAATATCATGGATTAACAGATGTGGATAAGCGCTATCGCCAAAGGTAAAATGCTTTCCTGCTTATTTGTACTGTTTTTATTACAGGATAGATTATTTAGCTCCCCCTTCATTATAGTATGCTGCTATTAGCAGCTTCAGCTAATAAGAGCTCAAATAATCTAACAAAATCTTTTAGTTCCACTTGCTGCCTGCTCGTGAATGCCACATCCCATCTACATCTTCGGTTCAGTGAAACTGCATCAGAACAATTGATTTCTTTTCCCCACCCAACTGAAAAAGAAATGCAAAGAAATCTTTAAAAATTCATTCCGGCACCACTATTCATTCTAAACTGAAATGGCATCATCATTGCTTATTATAAATTCGACTCGACATGACAATGGAAGAATCCCTGCCTCCTCTATCCATGTCCATACAAATTTTCTATAAATTCAGTTAGCTTGGCCATCTGTCTACCCTAAAGTCTTGAGTTCACCAATTTTGGTACTAAACCAGAGGCAGTTATAGATGCTATAACAAAACTTCATGAGAAAATAGCTTGAGAAATCTTTGAATTGCCTCTTTAAACAAAAAGGTCTTTATATCTCAGAGGAAGTATTGTATCATAGGTCTGCTGTCTGCCGTCTTCCACTTATTACTGTATGACTGGAAAACAATATCTATTTTTGAGCGTAGAACTTTTGTGAATATGTAGGAAATAGTCATCACTAAGGATGGTTGTAGGAAGAACAATAAGCAAAAGCAGGCTTTGCCAAAGTGAGAATGACTTGCTTGATTATGGGTGGCATGATGGATGTTCTGTTTACTCGACCTGTCTCTGCTTTATCTATCTCTGTTCAGGTATGTGGATATGATTGCAAACCCAGAAGTGGCTGACATTTTTCGTAAAAGAGCGAAGGTAAAATTTCATGTCTCTTCACAGCTAAAGAAATATTCAAGTCTCATTGCACGGCATTGCTATTCAACTTCTCTACTTATGGGAAAACTTCATATGGGTTTGATGGGAATTATAACTATGTTGAAGTATACTAATCAGGTGTCCAAAAAAAAGTACTAATCAAGGGGTTGAAATTGGAAATAATTAACTATTTCATGCTTTGCTACATTTCTTTCAATTTTCATGGTACCGTTCAATTTTTTCCTTGTGAATTTATGTTTCTAATGAAACTGCCCAGAGCTCGTGGTTTTTTACAATATATCCATTTTTTTTTTTGTGATGATCATGATTGAAATAAGAGAGTTAAACTAGACCCTTTCTCTGCTCCCTAAGGTACGGCTATGTGGAAGTGCAGAGATTAATCACATTAAATGTGTTAAAGGCTTTACTTCGAAGAAGTTAAAGCAAATGTATTATTTTCATTTCGAAGAAGCTGAAGCTCATTAGTTCTATCATCTGCCTTCTAAACTTGTATATAATATTAGGAGTCCTTTTATGTCTATTTCCATGGCAAAGGAGGTAAGCTGAGAGTCTCCTTTTTGACGTGGTTGTCTTGCCCGCTTGTTTAGATTGTATCAGAGATCCGAAGGACAGTTGAATCTGCGGGTTTTGTTGAAGTTGAGACGCCTGTCTTACAGGTTTGTTTGTTCCTTTGTGGCATGTAATTCTTTCAGATTTTGGTACTTGTGGCTTTAATAGTTGGTTGTGTTCTTCTTTTTGTTGGTTTTGTGTGTACGTGTCATTTGCTTTTCTTGTTCTGGTTTTTTATTTGGTTCGTGGGGGGGAGGAGGAGATTGTATTAGTTGGTAGGAAGCCATATTACTTGGGACTTGTCAAAATTCAGCATGTTCCTAATAATTTAACTACTCAAAATGTATAAGCTGAGGAATGACCACATAAAGAATCTCCATCAGATCAGTCTATAAGACGGTATATCTTTCATGAACGAGTCAAAATGCTGAAAATTTTGGTCTAAAAGCCTTGAATTAGATTAGTTTTTCATTTATGGCACATCTGACTATTATCTTGAATCTTAGTTAATCATTTAATCATTTTAATAGATTTTCGTTTGAGATGAATAAATTCAAAACATCACCAGCCGATTGTAGGTATAATTTGAGTTTCAAAAGTTTTTTGTCTGTATGTTAAGGTCCTTTTCTCACGGTGAATACCTCTTGGCTGTAATGTGCAGAAAATTTCCTGATATTATGCCAAAGACAAAATCTTTGAAGAAAGGTCAAAATAGTATCAATTCTTCTTTTTCTTATATTTGGTTCATTATTTTGGCCACTATATTTAATACATAGGTGTCGCAGCATAGGTAGGATCTAACGTATGGAGAAGCAATCCTAATTGAACTGATTATGTCACCCTTCTAAAAATTAGACCAGTTCTAACTAAGTCTTGCTGTGAAGGATTTGAAAATTGGATATCCAGATGCTGTAAGTTTTATTGCACATAGCATAATTATTTTGATGGTGTTCCATTTTTCACTGCGAATCAACTCACGGAGCAATAGCTTGAGAAAGTCCTCGTACTGCCTAGTTAACGCATCTTTAAACTGGAGCTAAATTAGGATTTGGTCTCTATATCTGCTCCACCCTTTGTAAAATGAAATGAGAGAGCAAGGAATATGTGTCTGCATCTGCTAGTTGACCAGCCTTCATTTACACTGGCATGCATCTTTGTATTATTTATTTATTTATTTATTTTTTTTTGGGGGGGGGGGGTGGTCGGTGGTCAGAGCATACATCTTTGTTTTTTTTTGGTTGGAACATGCATCTTTGTTTTCGCAAAGTGGTTTTTAATCGATTTTGTGGACTAGGGAGCAGCTGGTGGAGCGGAGGCCAGGCCATTTGTTACATACCATAATTCTCTTGGAAGGGATCTCTACTTGAGAATTGCAACTGAGCTCCATTTAAAAAGAATGCTGGTAAGTTACGTCTGCAAGTTGGGTTTCCTCTTGCTTTTCATTATGGATTTGGAAAGCTATTCTCTAATTTTAACAGTTAACTTCAGTAGGTGAAGAAAGAATGCTTGAGTATCAATTTTACCTTTATTATCATATTGGCCATGGTTGGTTTCTGCTGCATGATGGAATTACTTGCCTGATTTTTCCTGTTTTATACATCTGTTTGTTTTTTTTTTTTCAAATTTCAATGTGAACCTGGCATTCTGATGCAGCCTATTGGTCTCTGATGAGGCAGGTAATCTTTTCTAACTGTGTCTGTCCTTTTTTCCAACTTATGCCTTTGGATGTATCAACATAGATTTTTATCTACTTAGATATTTATTTTCACTATCCCTTTCTCAATTTCATTTTCTTTTTTGCTACTGGATATGCTACATTTATTTATTTTTTCTTTCTTTGCACAAACTTTTTTTATTTGAAGGTAGTATTGTGTAGTGCTCGATGTTTTGTACCCTTGGTGACAATGAATGTGAAAATTTCTTGCAGGTTGGCGGATTTGAAAAGGTATATGAAATTGGTCGAATTTTTAGAAATGAAGGTATTTCAACTCGTCATAATCCAGAATTTACCACCATAGAGGTACTTTCTGAAATGCCACTTTTTCTCGACTTATGAAGTCATCAATTTGAATGGTTACCACAAAGTGATGATTGTTAAAATCGTGCTTGTTATGTATATTTATTAAATATTGATAGTATTTATTTTAGCTTGATTCAGATGTATGAAGCATACTCCGACTATCAAAGCATGATGAACATGGCAGAGGAGATCATAACTCGTTGTGCTTTGGCAGTTCAAAATAAGCTTAAAATTGACTACCAGGTAAATCTGTTAACTGCTCACATGTTTCCCAGATTCTTTTGAGTCTGATCTCCGATGCTTGTCTGGCTCTTTCCTATCTTTGATCTGACAGTGCATGAGTCTTCCATACAGGGGTCAGAGATAAATCTGGAAAG